GCTGGATCGATATACCGGATATATCCGATATACCGGTATTTGTTTTGATACCGGTTTGGCGATATTGACAATTTAAAAATACCGATATACCGACATTTCGGTATTTTGCTGCCTAATACCGAAATGAAACGCTATTTCAAGTCAAACTTGCTTACAATCACGTTTAGAAAGCAAAGTTAATACTCACAGATGCATGACATGCATGAAAACCTTTTCTGGCTTTTCAACTTTTTTTATCGGGCAGTATAAGGTAACTTTTTGTTGTTTTTAATCTTATTTAACTGACATGCTAACTTGTTTATGTGTTAGTTTTAAAAATGCAACGTTTTTTATGTTTATAACTATTAGCAGCTTACTGAAACACTATCTGAATTTATATAGCTACAAAACGAATATTTTTCTGAATGATTCAACACTTCGACGCCCTACTAATAATGCCGCTTAGCGCTGTTAATTGTTAACATAGCTTGATAATGCGAATCTTGTGACATTTGCACCAATAACAGTATGTGCCACATTAATATTTTGTCAAAACTTGATTTTTCTTGACGGTCAGCACTTCAGTTTGGCTTAAAAAAAAACACGTTAAAAATACCGGAATTTACCGGTATTCTGATTGCGGTATATCGGTATTCGGTATTTGCGATATCGATCCAGCCTAATTCGTTTTATCAATTCATTAGAATGATCATTTTATATGATAACCCGTTTATACTGACCTTGCATATAAATATCTAATGAAATACAAATTGTCAAACACAAAAACCTGGTGGTCATCGAGGTTTATGACGATTAATACGGCTGATTTGTAATTTATCCGTTCTTCTTATAATCGTTGTTTACAATAAATTGCAAAAATAATGCCCAAAATTCCAAATGCACGCAGTCAAAAGTGATGTGAAATCTACAAGAAATCTCGTGAATACAAAATTACTTTATATGTTAAACAAATAAGTCCAGATGTCGCCTTCCCCCCCTAAACACATGATAAGTCAATGCGGCCATCTACTTCCGGCTGGTCGAAATTGACCAGCCGGAAGTATGTCTGCTTGCCAGATGTTACAAGTCTCTCTTCTCTTTCCTCCTCTCCCCCTCAGCGGTACGTCATGTAACGTACAATATAGTGGGTCTCCACAAAGAGAGACTTGGAGCAAGTCTATGTTGTCAACAGCTTGCGACAGACCTGTTCCCGCAAGCCTGTTACCGCCTGACGAAACCAACAGACCTGTCGCGACTTGTTGACAACTTTCCGCAAGCCGGTAAAATCAACAGCTTGCGACAGGCCTGTGAGATTTCTGGCTGTGTACATAAAAATATATACGAAGAACGTAACCCCTGGGGGGGGGGGGAATAAAACCCTAGTAGGGAACCACCTCCAGGCTCCAGACCAATTTACACTCACCTGCGACAAAATAGGGAAGTTGTGTGCTTGTTTTGCACAGTGCAACTCAAGTTGTAAGCATCTTGCATGGGACCATCTGATGCACAAGACTTTCCTCTTGATGAGTAAAATGATCTGATATCAGACATTTGAGTTCCTTTGCAGCTTAAGGAGTTAATCCTATTTATGCCATAGCTTTCCACGAGCACAAGTAGTGTTAGATTAATTTGCCATGTAATACAAGTGGAAATATAAGACAGAAATAAGTATAACTACATGAAGAAACAAAATGGCGGGTTCTGAAGAGGTCTAACGACGAAACTAGTAAACGCCAATTAATATAACGAGTGTCGAAAGGGATTTTTAGAGCTTTTAGTATTTTAAACATTTAGTATTTTAACATTTCATTACGTTTTTAAGTGATGCTTAGCAAACCTTTCTTAGCTAAAATTCGCGAAATTTCAACCTATTTATCTTAGAGAACAGCAATTCAACTATCTGGCTGGCTTGACAAATAAACTATACACCAACAATGTTTGCAAGGCAATTGTATCCTTGGAAAATTTTCTCTGAGATTATGCAGTGATGTTTACAACTTTTTTTGTTTAAGCCTAGTGACTTATTTCAGTGCATGAAAACCATCCCACCTTTCATCGTGTCCTGACAAACTGGGATCATGTAAACAGCACATTTAGTCATTAAGTTGATTTGCACTCTAATTTAGTAATTTTCCTACTTATATTATTTAACTCTGTCTAACGTCAGACAATTTTTATTAAGCAGGGGGTGCACTGGCAGTTAATGGGTAACTAGACATATAGGCAGTCTCATTATGAAGCATAAAATCGTCTAGCGTTGGACAGTAAAATACTCGAGTAGAGCATGCATAGTACAACCTAACGGTTTAATTTGTTTTTTTGTAGCAAAATGGTTTAAGTTTTATATCTGAATTAATTATTGTTTTTTTGCTTTGTTTTACAGATCATTACTGAACATGCTGATGAAATATTGATTTATAAAATATCATGTTACCAAGATGACATGCCTCGAAGAGCAATACAGGACCCCCGTACCTCTATTTCTAATCAAATTACAACAATACACCAAAGACAGTAGTTCTCGGATGAAATGAAAGGATTGATCAAATGTCTATGACCGGCAGTGGATATTTGTGATTATAATAAATGGATACAAAGAAACTATGATGGATAAATATGGCCCCGTAATGGACATACAAAGGTCACATAAATGTCTATTTTCAGGTACTGTTCTTTCTTGTTTGCCTGCGAACAGGCTGTAGATACTTGTATCCAGGCCATTGTTTGTTTTGTTGTTCTGGGTACAATGAAATCCGGCATAAATCCTGGCGGTCTAAATGTTCAGTGTATTTACAAATTCGATCTATTTTCTGTTCAGTAGACTTTGATAGCTTGAACGAAAGTTTATAACAATGATTTTCTCTGCATAAACTGTACTTCCGAAATTCGTCAGCTTCTGAATTTGAAAACCGATCTGGAAAAAAAAAGGGAACATTTGAGTGTATGGTTATTGCATGGTTTATATATATTCTATATACTGCCTTTGTGCACACGCATAACAAGTGCAGCAACGCAACAGTTTAGATAGGGTCATGAGGCAGGATGTGTACAAGAAAAGCTTTGCCAGAGTTTTGTCTTTCGAAATAGAACGACGCGATTGGAAATTGCTGTTTGATTCTTTGAAATATCTTGTCGCTTATTTGTCACTTTCCTCATCTAAACCTTTTTTCAAAAAACTGGCATCGTCTGTCTTGGGGTTAGGGGGTACAAATGGTACCCATAGCTTAGAGGGTGCAAATGGTACCCGTAAGAAGACTTGGTGGAAATCATGTTGGTCGTTTGGATCGGCGAGAATAAGAGAATTATGGTGGCAAAGTTTTTTCAAACATTTTCTCTCCCGTAGTAAGGTAAAGCATGTATTTTCCTGGTAGCCGGTCTTACTTCATGAAAAACAGTCCGCTACCAGTGACTAGGTCCCCTCTCCTATGGCGGTCATTGCGGCTCAATATCTTCAGGGATATTCCTTTTCAGGGCGGTTGCATGCGGACTTCGCGTGCGCAAAATAGTTAGGGAGTTAGACAGTTTAGAAGCGTCCAAACTGCGCAATATACGACACTCGCATGAAACTTAAATACTCTATAATAATTCACAAAATTGCGAAAACAGAAAATTGACAATTTTGCAATTTGAATTATGCATTTCTGGCAAATGCCTTTAGATTCAAGTTGTAACGACAATTTACAAGCGCATTGTACGGCATTATTCTAATGAAAAGACCGCCAGGGTTAGAGTGTTTTTATGTTGGTTTGTTAAGGAGCAAACTCGCTTTTTAAAAAAAGAAATATGTATTTAATTTCGATCCAGATTTGTTCCTGAACATGGTCGCCATGAAAACACTCTGTAGAGCAAGCTCAGCGACGTACGGTCATAATAGCGACGTCGGAAGTCAAAATTGAACGTACATTATGTTAATAAGTTGCTATGCTAGGGTTGCGTACAATCTATACCCACACGATGTGTAGCAATTCTAAAGGAATAACTAATACGCATAAATAGGGTGTGCGCACGAAGTTTTTTTCGCAGGCCTTTAACTTCGGGGAAAATAATAAAAAAGGCAGTGTCCGTGGTCGGGGCTGAATAGTACTGTGGAAGATTGGGTTGGAAAATTTGCAATTAAGATCTGTATTTTTGGGCAATTGTTACTTTTTGAAAAATAGTATCCTACTGATGTAAAATAACATCTGAAGGGTTTGGCAACAATGATGTCCGAAGAGTATGTTAGTCCTAAACTTTATTTCGTAAAATGATTTATCTTTGTATATACTCAATTACAAGACAATTTAAAGTTCGATTAAAAGTTTAATAACAATTGATATAAATTGAAACTCATTCTGGCTCAAATTTTATTTCATAAAATGATTTTTCTCAGAATACTCAATTATTTGACAATTCAAAAAGAATATTTGAATATTTAAAGCATATTTAAAGTCAAAATATTAATCATAATTCAAAATGACCTTTGGGTCAAATGTTATGCCTACTCATATGGTTGTGTCGACAGAAGCCTGAGGTATTATATTAGATACGAAATACAACTTTTCTAAAATCAGTTAGATAAGGTTTTGATCGTCATAATTCAGAACATAATACTCGCCTTTTAAGCAAAAGCGAAAAGATTATTTTTGCCACAATTTCACGGTAAACCCAAACGTGGTGACGGAATTTCCCAGCATTTATATGTGCTGAAATCAATTTAACAAATAAATCAATATAAATCGAGAAATTTAACAAAAGTATAATTTTGCCCCTCGCCGGGTTTGAGCATCTTTTGTGACAATATGGATACTACCATGAAGATTAGAAGTTTGATAAGTACTAAGTAAATGTTTTCGTCAAAAACACTACTGAAATCATGGCTTTGACAGGGTTGACTAAGTTAGCTAAAAACCCAATAATTTCCCATTCCATGTTTGTAATATGCATTCAATATGATATGATAGATACCGCAGGCCTTCTACTCTTTGGAGATAAATTGGAACAGAATGGCTGAAATTGAGTATACTAAAAGACTTTAATGAAATATAATTCGGGTTTAATGCATATGTCGTTTTTCGTCTTATACGTTTAAAAGGAAAAATACCAGACTCTCTAAACGTCATTGTTGCCAGCAACTGTGTAACTTTCATGAAAAAAATCAAAGTCTTGAGATTTTGTTTTTCAACAAGTAATAATGGTCTAGAAATACAGATTTATATTGCACAATGTTTGTTAGTTTCTTCAGTAAGGTCTCTAAACATTGGCACACCTGCGCGTTCCCCATGCATATATTTTTAACTAGTTTTTATTTTTAACTAGATTTATTCAAATTTGAGGTGATTTTGAACATATATATTTTGGTATGTTACTCATTATGATACGAGTAAAATATTGTTCGTGTTTACACATTGTTCTAGTTTCTATAGCTTTTTATTTGTCTTATCAGTTGAAATATATGTTGTGATTGTTGACGAAATATATTGAATCATTTGTGAATTGTTCGTTCATTTTATGCATGACGAAACCCGAAATTTATAGTTTGATGTCACAACAAATTTGAGCATAAAAATGTTAAAATTGTACACTAAAACACTAGGTATTATATTCGAAATCACTGGAACACGACTAGTTTTAAATATGCTTGGACTGAATTTCATACATGGAGTATTTCAAAAGTTCTGATCGGTTATCTGTTTAAAAACTTTTGAAATCATGCATGTATGAAATTCAGTTCAAGCATATTTAAAACTAGTCGTGTTCCGGTGATTTCGAATATAATACCTAGTGTTTTGGGTGTACAATTTTAACATTTTTATGCTCAAATTTGTTGTGACCATCAAACTATAAATTTCGGGATTCGTCATGCATAAAATGAACGAACAATTCACAAATAATTCCATATACTTCGTAAACAATCACAACATATATTTCAACTGATAAGACAAATAAAAAGCTATAGAAACTAGAACAATGTATAAACGAACAATATTTTACTCATATCATGAGTAACATACCAATATGTGTTCAAAATCACCTCAAATTTGAATAAATCCAATCCCAAAAACTAGTTAAAAATTTATGCATGCGGAACAAGCAGTTGTGCCAATGTTTACAGACCACCGTCCACAGTACTACTTGGTTTGTGGGTTCAAATCCCAAAACACTGAACTTATAAGTTACTAAAAAAAATGGATCTGATGGATCCGACGGATCCAATGGATTTTAGTTAAATAAAAAAAAAATGGATCTGATGGATCCGACGGATCCAATGGATTTTAGTTATATAAAAAAAATGGATCCGACGGATCCGATGGATCCGATGGATCTGATGGATCCGATGGATCTGATGGATCCGATGGATCTGATGGATCCGAGGGATTCAGATGGATCTGAGGGATCCGATGGATCTGATGGATCCGATCCCTCGGATCCATCGGATCCCTCGGATCCATCGGATCCCTCAGATCCATCTGAATCCCTCGGATCCATCGGATCCATCAGATCCATCAGATCCATCTGATGGATCCGATGGATCTGATGGATCCGATGGATCTGATGGATCCGATGGATCTGATGGATCTGATGGATCCGATGGATCTGATGGATCTGATGGATCCGACGGATCCAATGGATTTTAGTTATATAAAAAAAATGGATCCGACGGATCTGATGGATCCGATGGATCCGAGGGATCTGATGGATCCGATGGATCTGATGGATCCT